ATGATTTGATTATATTCAATTGAGGTTTGAATGATTGAATGGCATGAATCCTGATCAAATTCCTTTTGTTTCTGCTTTAACCTAGAATGAGAATATCTGCCTAGGTTGATAGAGCATCCTTGATTGAAGGTAGGTATTTGGTGACTTTAGTCGAGGAGCCAACTCACTATTCTGTACCGAATTCACTTCGGTAGTGGAGGTTTTGTTGTTAGGGCCTCAATCTGTTTACTCCGGTGGAGGTTAGTCGCCCGCTAGAGACTCAGATTGAGAGGGTCTGGAGACCTTTAGTCGAGACTTCAGACTACTTAAGAACCTTCCGCAGTATAACTATCATAGAAACTGAACTTGGTAATTGCAATCCGGCTTAACTGTAGTCTATGGGGAACCATATCCGGGTCACCTCTCTTAACCTGAAAACAACCGTTTACTTTCTTTGTTTGTTTGTTAGTTTAGACTTGCATTAAAGTTTCATTGCTAGATAACAAGAATTCACCGAGTAGTCATCAAATCTAGGACCCGGGTTGACATTAAAACCCAAACCCGCTATACTACGCTTTAGGAAGTGGTTTCACTTGGCCAATTCCTAGAGTAACAGTAGAAGTGAGTCAAGTTTTTGGCGTCGTTGCCGGGGACGGCTAGGTTGTTGAAGAAAAGTGATTTCTGTTAATTTAGCTTTTCTTTTCGCATTGTTTGCTTTGTCCCACTTGTACCTTCACGGGTTTGCTTGCTTGAGTGTGTGCAGGTAGTGCATGACCCGTAGCAATTCGAGAGGTTTACTGCCATTGAATCCAGAGATCGAACGCACCTGTCGCCAACTCAGGAGACAACAGCGAGCTAGACTGGCTACGGAGGAGCGCATAGACGGCCATTTGAGCAGCGAGTCCGAGGACGACTAAGAGATGGAAGATTACAATCCACACCAGGGGAATCCTTAACAGCCCCCCCCCCCCCCGGTGAATCAGGTCCTGGGGAACAACCCCATACCCCAGGCAGATGGGGTTCATCATCATCCACCGCCGCCGGGTCCCACATTGGAGTACTACTACACTCCACGGATTGCTGACATCCGCCCGGTCATCCTCTACCCGCCTATTCCAGCAAACAACTTCGAGATTAAGCCATGCTGGATTCAGCTCATTACATCCTCTATCCAGTTCCATGGCTTGAAGGATGAGGAGGCCAGGGTACATCTTTCCCGTTTTCTGCAGCTGACGAACGGGTTCAAGCTGAACGGTGTCCCCGATGATGCAATCCGCCTTCACCTTTCCCCCCATTCTCTGGCGGGGAATGCTAAGAGGTGGTTGGAGACCCAGCCCCCATTGTCCATCACCTCTTGGGACGATCTGGCTGACAAATTCGTGCACAGGTACTATCCGGCATCGAAGACTACAGAGATCCAGCGGGAGATCACTCACTTCCGCCAAGAGCCAGATGAGTCACTTCGTGATGCTTGGCAGCGGTACATGGGATATTTCTGGCAGTGTCCCCATCATGGTTTCAGTGATGCATTCACAGTGGGGAACTTCTACAGTGCTCTCTCTCCGGACAGCCAGCGGGTGATCGAGTCTCTATGCCCAGGAGGGGACATTCTTACTAAGACTCCACCCGAACTGAACCTGATGATCAATACCTTGGCTGCCAGAGATCATTCCTGGGGGCAGAGCAACAGAGGCAGACATTCCCAGGACCGTGGTGTGCACGCCATGGAGACCAGATCCGGGCTCGAGCAGCAGGTAGCTGAGTTAGTGCAGACATTGAAGCAGCCCAACAGTCTTATTCCGGGCAGAGGATTGGCTACACCTCTAGTAGCTCAATGTCAGTGGTGTGAGAGATCGAATCATCTGGTGGAGGACTCTCAGGCTATGCGGGAGTCCTCTACACCCCAGGAGCAGTTGGCCTTCATCGCCAATGCGCGGCGCCTCGATCCATATAGTAACACATACAATGAGGGGTGGCGCCAGCATCCCAACTTCTCTTGGAATAGCAACACCACTAAACCACCTGGTTTCCCTGCACCAGTTGGTGGTTTTCAGCAGAGGCAGCCTTTCCAGGCTAGACAGGGGCCAGCCTCACAGCAGCAGCCCTACCAGCCTAGGCAGGGGCAACCATTCCAGCAGCCCCAGCGTCAGTATGCCGAGCCAGCATCAGCTCCGGCTCCAGATGATCAGTTGACGAAGCTGGAAAATATTCTAGCTTCATTCATGACTAGCACTCAGGCAACTGTCACGAGGTTGGACCAGAGCATAGCCTCACTGGAGGCAGGTCAGAGGAACCAAGGTGCCATTTTGCAAGATTTGCAGAACCAGATGGGTGACATGGCTCGCCAAATTAATACCCGAGCCCCGGGAACTCTCCCTGCCACTACCATTCCCAATCCACGGGAGCCGCACCAGCAGCTGGATGCCATTTTTACCAGGAGCGGTAAGACCATATCTACTGATCCTGTCCCGGCCAGGCAGGAGGAACCACTACCTGCTTCAGCACTTCCAGCCGACGATGAAGAAGTGTGGGTGGATAAGGAAGCCCCTGCCCCCAAGCCACAACCAGTGGTTAAGGAGCATGTACCCCAGCTTCCCTTCCCCACTCGCCTACACAAAGACAAGTTGGAGACTGAGTTTGCCAATTTTATGGCAATGTTGAAGCAGCTCAACATCAGCATACCGTTTGTGGAGGCACTGTCGAAGATGCCCAAGTACGCGAAGTTCATGAAAGATCTCCTCACCAACAAGAAGAAACTTGGGGGATCTCTCGACAGTGTTGCTGAGCGAGGAGTGTTCTGCTATCCTGCAGAACAAGCTGCCCGAAAAGCGCAAGGACCCAGGGAGTTTTACTATCCCTCTTACTATTGGCAGCATGCATGTAGGCAAGTCCTTGGCGGACCTAGGCGCTAGCATAAATGTCATGCCATATAAGTTGTATAAAAAGCTAGACCTAGGTGAACTTAGCCCTACTAGGATGAGCATTCAGCTAGCTGATCGTTCCATTGTGCATCCTAGGGGGATCATAGAGGATCTGCTAGTTAATGTAGGTGCATTCACATATCCTATTGATTTTGTTATTCTTGATATACATGAGGATGTGGATGTGCCTTTGATTTTGGGTAGACCATTTCTTGCCACCGCCAAGGCACTTATTGATGTGCATGATGGTAAACTGATCCTGCGTGCTGGGAATGAACATGCTACTTTTTCTGTGACTGAATTCGATCACTGTGCTATGATTGCTGTCACACCTGTGCATGCTATTTCTGATCAGGTACACGAGCCTGTCGTGTATCCTTCTGCACCTCGCATTTTGCAGGACCCTCCTATCATTCCTTCGCCGCCACTCCATCCAGCCTCGCCTCCGAACAAAAAGATCAAGGAGGAGTGGCGGCTGAAGCAGCAGGTTGCTAAGCCTGCGCAGAGAAAGGGTGGAGACCACTACGAGCTGGTCCCACCTCCTGCACCACGACCACCCTGGCCTTCCGGGTACTCACTCGCCTGCATCTTGCCAGATGGCCAGGTCGAGCTGACCGATGACGGTGGTCGCATCTGTCGGGTGCATGGCCACAACCTGAAGCTGTACCTCAAGAGCGACGTGGATCCGCTCTTGGAGGCACCTGTTCCTGCACCTCCCTGAGTATCCACCATGGGTGTCCAGCTAAAAGACGGTAAATAAGCGCTTGTGGGGAGGCAACCCCACCACGGTTTTAATCTCTTTCTTTTGTTTTGAGTCGGATTGTAAACCGGTTTGGTTTTGGTTTGTTTTCTTTTATTTTGGATGATGTTTTTTTGGGCTGACCATTGGACCTAACATGTTGTTTTTTAGCTCTTCTGTTCCCATTTAGCTGTGCTTTATTCCAGATTGGTCCCTCTCCAGTCCGCTTCACTCGACGGGTCCGCTTCCAGTCTCATGCAGTCTGTGAACACCGGTAACATCGTTCCCCTTATCCTTCCCTCTTCTCCATTGAGGGCAATTTCGATCTTAAGTGTGGGGGGATGTTTCTCTTTTGACTGCGTTAGATCTGTTTGTGTGCTTGGAGCCTAGTCCACTGTCCAAATCTTGAGATTTGAGGGCTCCAAGCACTGCTGTTTGCCTGATGTTTGATCATATTGGCACTGTGGATGTGATTAGTGAATTGAATGGCTTTTGACTTGATGCATGACAACTTGAGTGTGACTAAGACAGCTTATTACGATGACTGAGATGAGCAGTAGAATTGTGTAGGAGTTCAGTTTTTCAACTGTTTGCTTACCAAATGTGACTTGGTTTGATCACTTGCTTTTGACAGTCATTTATGCATCTAGTTCAGGGAATCAGAACGAGAGATAGAACATATAGGTAGCCATGTGAGACTTGAGCCTGCTCGTTTCTTTCTTGAGCGATAGTTCCCTCTTCCATGATGTGCAGCATTCACGTTGTCATTAGCTAAGATGATGGAGGCATAGGATTAGCCCACGACCAAATTGACTGTCCTGGTGTGTCATACCCCCTAGTCAGCCCCTTTGAGCCGTGTGTTACCCTTTCTTTCGGTCAATATGAAAAAATCACCCTTTTGCATCTCTTAGAAGGTTCCACAGAGTGGTTTTTTACATGTTCTCTGCTGTTTCTGCTTAATATAATGTGAGGGTTGGAGGTAGTTCTTAAAAAGTTGGGCAGGTGCTTGAAAAATGTGCAGAGGTGGTGGTTCTCTTAAGAAATGAAAAAAAAATGAAAGAAAAACAAAGAAAAAATGAAAGCAAAAGAGAGCCACCACCAAAAATCTGAATAGTGCCCATTAAGTAGTGTTTCTTAGCAGTCTGGCTTAGAAATACTAGCATTTATGTGACCTCTTCGCTCTTATGCTCTGAAGAATTTGAGTAATGCAGAATAGCAGAAAGAAAGTTATTGGTTTGATTGACTGTGAGTTTGTTGGATTTGGAAATGTGGAACCTTGTGCTATGAATACTTCCACCACCTAAAAGGCCTTTTCCCCATGTCCAAGACCCTAGCCAGTCATCTGAACCTGTGTCTAAGACCTCCGGATTAGTTATGGTGACACCCCATATGTGAACTCTAGCATTTAGAGGTTGCATTCATGGTGAAGAGACGTTAGGGATTGAGAGAATAAGCATGCACATTTTTTGCATCAAATTGTCCTGACCCCACTGGTCGAGAGTGAGCGATTCATTTTCTCATATTATCTATACACTTTATCCCGGTGAGGACCTAGATTGCTTGGTCTTAATTTTGATATCTTGAGCTTTGTGCATGAAGTGACTGTTTTGAATAAGTGGTTGAGTCAAGTCTATGTTGGTTGGTGAACAGAAAGGAACTCTTCCTTTGCTCGACTTTATTGCATTCGAATGTCATCTGTGGTGGTTGTCTAGGTTGTCGTTGAGGTTGTCCATGTGTTAATGATCGAAAGCCAATATGATCCACGTGTTTGTGCTGATATGATATGCCCTAAAGCCTGCTTGATTGAAACGTTTTGAGCTTACCTTGTGTCTGACTTGGTTTGCTTGGGGACAAGCAAACGGTTAAGTGTGGGGGGATTTGATGACTCGATATTTGCACATGTTTTCCCCTTTGTTTCTTGATAGTTTGAGATTTAATTATCGCTTCTTTGGCCTATTTTACGCTAGGTTGTGTTCGTTTGTCACATTTCAGGTCCTATCACATAAAGTGAAGCATAGGCGCAAGTTTCAAGTCAATCAGAGATCAATTGGCGATTCGGGAGAAGAAACTCGGGCATGACCTGAAGAAGAATGGATTTCTACCTCACTTTATGGACAAATAATCATGCAAGCTTGTCATTAAAAGAAAGAGGACGAGACTACGAGCATCTGGGATCAAACGGCGACTGATTCGGAGTCCGGACGAGGGAGAAACGAAACATTGAATATAGGGGAACAGGTTCGGCAGTAAAAACACGGGCGCGCCTAAATCAAAACACGGTCTTGCCCATATTTAGGCACGACCGTTTTTTGGCCGACGCGCGCGGGCGTGTTTTAAACACGGGGCAAAACACGGGCGGGCTGGAGCAAAGCACGGCCGTGCCCTCGACCGTGTTTTGCCCAGTGATGCCCTTTTAGGCAGATTTCAGCCAAAACAGAAGGGGATTCGAGTTTTAGAGAGACAGAGCGATTCCTAGAGAGAGAAAGCGATGAACAAGAGTCTCCAAGTGCCCTAGCTTGATCTTCATCACCATTGGAGCTTGGCTTGAGCTTGGAGAAGTGCCGATCAACGTCCAGGAGCAGGAATCCATCCTTCACAGTATGAATTTCGCGTCTGATTCTGCTTTTGCTTCTTTCTCCATGGAGTAGTTCTCCCATTCATCTGGGTATGGAGAACCCTAGATTTGTATGTTAGGTTTGATTATATGAACCCAAGTACTGATTCTATGATTTGATAATATTCAATTGAGGTTTGAATGATTGAATGGCATGAATCCTGATCAAATTCATGTTGTTTCTGCTTTAACCTAGAATGAGAATATCTGCCTAGGTTGATAGAGCATCCTTGATTGAAGGTAGGGAGTTGGTGACTTTATTCGAGGAGCCAACTCACTATTCTGTACCGAATTCACTTCGGTAGTGGAGGTTTTGTTTGTTAGGGCCTCAATCTGTTTACTCCGGTGGAGGTTAGTCGCCCGCTAGAAACTCAGATTGAGAGGGTCTGGAGACCTTTAGTCGAGACTTCAGACTACTTAAGAACCTTCCGTAGTATAACTATCATAGAAACAGAACTTGGTAATTGCAATCCGGCTTAACTGCAGTCTAGGGGCAACCATATCCGGGTGACCTCTCTTAACCTGAAAACAACCGTTTACTTGCTTTGTTTGTTTGTTAGTTTAGACTTGCATTAAAGTTTCATTGCTAGATAACAAGAATTCACCGAGTAGTCATCAAATCTAGGACCCGGGTTGACATTAAAACCCAAACCCGCTATACTACGCTTTAGGAAGTGGTTTCACTTGGCCAATTCCTAGAGTGACAGTAGAAGTGAGTTAAGCACACAGAAGTTGTCACGGAGAGCTCCCGTGATGATCATGATCAGGAATGGCCTGTCGTAGTCGACCACACCTTCCCACATCCCAATCTGAGCTTTGAAGAGGCGGGCATGAGTGAGGAGATGCAAGAAGATCTCATGAAAGAAATTGCTTGGCAACTTGCTCTCCAATCCGTGCTAGAAGAAGAAGAGCAAGAAAGGGTGCAGAAAGAAGTTGTGGAGGATGACGAAAGTGAAGCAGGAGGAGTTATTGATCATTTCCCAGGGGTGATACCACATGAACAAGGAAGGGAGGTAGAAGAAGCAATTGGCGTCCAGGCCGAGGACAAAGTTGAGGTGGAAGAGGCCTGCATCGGTCATGAGTGGCAAGTAATATCCCCACCAAACTTTGAGGAACTGCTTAGCAAGGACCCATTTGCAGTGTCTCTTTGCCAGACCAAGGCCACATCGACATCGGTCCCTCTTGGTGGACGCAATGGTGGTCAATCGATGTTGTCATATCTGGTTTGGGGCAATGAGACGAGAGAAGAGAAGAGGAGGTCTCGAGGGTTGAGACTTCATCTGCATCAAGTGCACGAGCTTCCATCTACTGTCATACCACATGCTCATGACTTGAGATTCCACCTCATCGACGAGAACCTCAACTTCAAAGAGGTTTTGGGGTTGACCGAAACTTAGGAGCCATCGTCCGGCTCACGACGTGAAAGAAGCGCTTGTTTGGAGGCAACCCAACCAGTCAGTTTGCATTTCTTTCTCTTTTTCTCCTTGGTTGAGTCAGTTTTGTTATTTGATTTTAGAGTCAATAACTCAACCTTTGTGAGATTTTGTGTGGTGTTTGTGTTCCGACTACTCTCTCCTCCTGGAATGCACCGCCTGCCCTGTCCACCATCATTCACCCTTGATCTGGTAACTTCGTTCTAACCTCCTTATCTTTCCTTCATTGAGGACAATGTCGTGCTTAAGTGTGGGGGGATGTTCGATTATGAATGCGTGTGAATGTTTGGTTGTTTGTGTGCTTGGAGCCTAGTCCACTGTCCAAATTTCGATTTGAGGGCTCCAAGTACGTGTTCCTTGCAATTGCCTGCTCAGTATGCTTTGAATTGACAGTCTTTATAGTAATATGCAACCTAGGGAGGTAGTGTAGCACTATGGATGATGTTGATGCATTTAAGAAGTCTCCTTTCTTCTTCATATTGTGTTGGTTGATTGTGTGAATTAGTGATCTTAGGACTCTTGAATTGTGTGGTGTTGTGGACTCTCTACCTGTCATGGAATCCTGTATCATGTTTTGAAATAAAAGGTGCTCGATAATGTGCTTTAAAATAACGTCTCCCGTGCGAATAGGGAGAAAGTGTGTAAGGGGAGACGGGAATTCGTTCCCAATTTCCACCTACTATCTCCAGTCCCCTTACATTCCTTTTCCCCACACGAGGCTGGAGACATTCGCTCCCGGCATGGCCGGTAAGAGCTGGGTTCCCGCAAAACCTTTGCTAGGTGGGAGCCCCGTTTTCTGAAAATCGGGTTGGAACCCTTGAAAAAGAAAGAAAAAAAAAGAGAACAAAAGAAAAGGAAAAAAAGGGGTTCCAACCGTCTTCAAAAAGAAAATAAGAGCACCTTGAAAAATGTGAGTCCATGATCTTTTGTTTTTTAGAGTCTCTTCGTCCACGATTCATTTGTCCTCTGATCACTATTTGCCATGATGCCGACTCGAGACTAGCGTTCTCGCCGAAGAAGCTATGAGATGACTTGTGCGTCGGTTGACCTTGTAAGCTGCTAAATGATCTAGAAAATCCTCTATCAAGGATCAAGGGTGCATGTTGCTATAGAGGTCTGCAGAGCTGCATTGGTTTGAGTTAGGTTTGCTTGGGGACAAGCAAACGGTTAAGTGTGGGGGGATTTGATGACTCGATATTTGCACATGTTTTCCCCTTTGTTTCTTGATTGTTTAAGCTTGCATTATTGCTTCTTTGGCCTATTTTACGCTAGGTTGTGTTCCTCTGTCACATTTCAGGTCCTAGCACATAAAGTGAAGCGTAGGCGCAAGTTTCAAGTCAATCAGAGATCAATTGGCGACTCGGGGGAAGAAACTCGGGTATGACTTGAAGAAGAAGGGATTTATACCTCAGTTTGTGAACATATAATCATGTAATCTTGTCATGAGAAGAAAGAGGACGAGCCTACGAGCGTCTGGGATCAAACGACACCTGATTTGGAGTCCGAACGAGGGAGAAACGAAGAATCAAAGATAGGGGAAAATTGGTTTTGGGCTTCTCTGAGAAACAGAAGGGGGCCCTATCGTGAACCAAAAATCCCCGGTCGTGAACCAAAATCCCCGGTCGTGACCCAAAAAATCCCCGGTCTTGAACCAAAAATAACCGACCGGGTATTTTGACCGGGGATCGCGAACGCAGGCTGTTAAAAGCCTGTTTTGTGCATTTTTGCAAGGGAGAGCTGGGTTTTGGATCCCAAACACCCAAGGGACGAACCAAAGAGAGAAAGGGCGATCTGAGGGCATTCTAAGAGTGGAATTGGAGGATTTCTTCGCCTTGGAAGCTCGAGGAACAAGCCCGGACTTGAAGATTGATCATCTGAAGAGTCTTACTGCAGTCTCTCTCTTCTCTATGGAGTAACTTCCCTTCACTTAGGTTTTGAGGAACCCTAGCTATATTTGTTTGATTGGATGATTGTATGAGTACTCTGACTTGATAATCTTGAGTTCATATTCAATCTATGCATGTTTTCATGATTCAATTCTGCTTTAGTCGAGATTATTGACTCTGCTTTGATCCTATGAGAGGGAATACCTGATTAGGTCAATAGAGCACCATAGATTGATAGTAGTGGATCGATTGCTTTAGTCGAGGGTTGATTCACTGCTTTGTATCGATTGAGAACCTCTTTCGATAGGAGGAGTCTAGTTCAGAACAATTTGATCAGTTGTTCTAGAGAAGGATACGTCCCTCTAGGCAATTTACTCAAGAGGGCCTTGTTCCTTTAGTCGAGACTCAAGGTCTAGTCAAGGATTCTCCACATTGTTAATGAAAGTGAAACAAGTTAGAAATCATCAATCGTTAGTCTGGCTAGTGGCTAGGGGGAATCATACCTAAGTGAGTTCCCAACCTGTAATTAGATTAACTTTAACTGTAGTTTGCTAGAGTAGTTTTAGTTCTTTCACCTTAATCTGGTTTGCTAAATAATAAACTGAAGCTGAGTAATAGTAACTCTAGAGACACGTGGATTTGATATTTATCACTTGAGCCACTATACTGCAGTCCCTTCCATTGGTTACACTTGGCCATTGTTAGGTGTTGTGTCGTAGCGAGTCATTACTCCTGTGCAGCAAAGTGGAATCGATCACCACTGGACGAGGCCTCCTTCAGGGACGGTGAAGCTCAATACGAATGCGGGTTTGTGTGCAGATGGTAGTGGCCTAGGGGTGGTGGTGCGAGATTAAAATGGCAGGTTCTTAATGGTGGCATCTAAGAGAATCCGTGGCGAGCAGAATCCAGAAGTGGGCGAAGCTTTGGCAACAGAAACTGGATTACAACTGCTCCGCCAACACCAACTAGGAGTGCCTCAACTTGAGATGGATTGTGCGTCGGTTCTGAATTGCATAGGAAGAGCTGACCGCAATCATAGTGAATTGGGAGTGATATGTAGAAGCATAAAATGCTTACTTGATGAGATGGGTGCAGGGGGAATGCAAGCATGCATATAGATCACCCAATGAAGCCGCCCATATAATGGCTCACGTTGATACGAGATGGAATGTTGTTGATGTTTGGTTCGACCAACCTCCCATTTGTTTACTTGACCAGCTGGAGTTGGATTCTGTAATGGCTTCACATTCTTAATAAAAGCCTAGCGCAGATTTCGATAAAAAAATCCCCCCTCTCACTAATTGCCTTCGGTCCGCCTCCAAAAGTCTTCTGTCGATCCAAGTCTCTCTAATGAGACAACAGACTTGGTCAATGTTAATTAAAGAATGCCCAAGACATGTCTCTTCATCCTTTAGACCATCTTTAGTGCTAAGTTCCAAAAAGTCTAATTTTTTAGGCTAGAATTTGAATTCTAGCACATCCAAAAGTGTTTTAACATTGGTGGTGAGTTCCAAAAGTCTAGAATTTCACAATCCCACTTTATTATCACATGACGAAATCAATGACGAAAACACTATTATTGATTTAAATAGCTATAGATTGATCACATGCTTGTCAAATTGTATTGTGCAATAGATTAAATCAATTAACTAATCGATTTTTGTTATCAAATTAATTAGCATGATTTTTTTGATTTATTTGTACACAATCACACTTGGGGGTTGTTTGGATATGGTAATTTGGTGTAGTAATTGGGCTCAATTTTCGCATTATGCAGTAATTGGGTTCAAATCCAATTCGCATGTTTGGCTATCAAAAAATATCATGGAAATTAAAATTCCAGCACCCCCTCCCCTGCATTTCCAATTCCCTTGTTTGAGTGTATTTTTTTTGTGCCAATTATGCCCCTGTTTTTTATTGAAAATCCGAGAATAACCCTGCCTTTTTTCCAAGGGATAGCTAGCAACTTAATTCGTTCTTCTTTCCTTCTTCCTTTCGCTTCGTCCCTGCAACCTACGCAAGGAGCTCTTTTTGTGTAATATGCTTAGCCTATATTGAAATGGATGGGGACAATATGGCGAAGTGGGGAGAATCGGTAAGGACTTGTGCCTAGTTTTGGATTTTCGAGTACGAGACGAGAAGGCGGATTCCAATTTGCTTTTGCTGACTTTGTGCACCATTTTGGCATGCTTGTTAACAAGCTGATGACTGATTAACATGAGTAATCTGTTGGGACTCTTAGGACGAGGTGTACGTACAATAGCCTGAGAACGGGTGATCAGTATTGTGATAGAGTCGCGAACAAAGTTCACTTTCCGAAAAGAATATTTCCACCATGCATAAAAGTCTTGGGTTACAGGAAATTTCTCCCGAGAATAAAACTATCATCACTTTAGATTCTAGGCTCAAAACTCTAAAATATACTTAGAAATTTTTGGAAGAAAGAAGAAGAATATGTTTGATGGTATGTTCCTCCACCGCCATCTACCTCATCTTTATAGGGATGGAATTGATTTCATTGCTTCATGAAAACGTTTGCTGGCTAACGGTCAATTTCAAAACGTTGTCATCAACCAAATCAAACCACCATCTCATTTCATGAAGAGTTGCCTTATATCATGACACAATGCATCACGTGGGGTAGTGTAAGAAACCCGCTTCTTAGGGCTTCTAGGGACCGATCTTCGACACCCGCGCTTATACGTAACAGAGAGGAATTTAGGGATTAGGATAAGAAATTAGGGATTTGGATAGAAGAATTAGGGATTGAGGATTGAAGAACATAATTGGGGAGAATTGAGAAGAATAGGCCGACGGCCTTTGGGGGAAGAGAGGACGAGATTTGAGAGGATTTGGGAGAGATTAGAGTTGTGATAATTCTCCTGTTATTCTTCTTGATTCATTATGACGTAAACCGGAAGTACATATTTATAGGAAAAATACAGGTAAACCCTAACAAATAACCTAATTGGACTAAATCTCTACTAACCATAATTATTATTATCATACTAAAAATAATAAAGGAAACCCTCGAGAACTGGGTTTCTAACAATCTCATCCCCTTGAAAACGACCTTGCCCTCAAGGTTGTAGCCGACTTTCATCTTCTTGACCTTCCGCTTTCTTCGTTTCCAATTGCGCTCAAGCTTTCAAATGACTTCTTTTTTGACAGCTCAAACATTCTTCAACTCTTCTCAAACCACGTGGCACATGTCACACTCTTCGTAGCTTAACAATTCTTCCTTTTCCTTTTCGAAATAAGAATTGGAGAATTGTTCTTCCTTGTGCATATCCTTATTAACCACCTTGAAATATTCAAGGAATTGCTCCATTGATTTCACTAAGTACTTGGTGGTGTAGACGAACCATGATCGCTCCCAACGTCCTTTTCCATCTTCCTTAATTCAGCCCACAATAGCTTGAAAAAAAGAATTATGACCAAACCAATTTGAAGCTCATGTGCACTCATCTTCCTTTTATTTCTGTTTGGGCTTGGCTCCATGAAAAGCCCACTTGCTAAGCCCATGTTGTTTTCTTCTTTCTTTTCTTTCAAGTTGACCCACTTCAAAAGACAGCTCCTGTTGGGCTCATCTTCTTTAAATCTTGGCCCATAACTATACAAGAGAGTCTTAACCAGTGGGCTCCTTTGAAGCTCAATTACTCCTTGGAGCCTTGACCCACTCAGTTGGTCCAAAGAGACAGCGTCCCTCTCCTTACAATCCAGCCGATGGCTCATGTTAATTGGGCTCGTCTCCTTCCCTCGCCCCAACTGATAGGGCTTCTCTAGCCTAGGGTTAGCAGCCGCTACCCCTTGGCCCACTCCCCTTTGCAGCTTATGGTCTTTGTGTGAAGGGAAGAGAAGCGGTTCATATGGGAGCAGGGCATCGTTGTCGCTGTCGCTGCCGCCGGCTTCCTTCTTCCTCGACGCTTCTAGCTCTTCCGGCAAACGATTCCGCTGACGACGATTAGGCCAGCACGACCCCGCCATCAACTTCACCGCCGTTAAGCTCATTGGGCAACAAGATGGCCTTCTTCCTTGTTCATAGCTGCGGCGTTAAGCTCCTTGGGCGGTTGTTCCATAGCAACGAGCGGTAATGGTGGTGGAGCTGTACTGGTGATTGGTGTCATAAACAGTTGATCCCAATAACTCAAGTTGTTGGGAGAAGGTTATGTTGGATCTTATAACACTCTCTAACACGCCCCCTCAAACGAAAGCCAACCCATGGGCTTGAAGTTTGCACAGGCCCATCATACCTTGTGCTTCAATCAACTGTTAATATTGGGGGTCATGGAGATTCGAACACACGACCACTTGGCCAAACAAGCTCTGATACCATGTCAATAACCAATTGATCCCAATAACTCAAGTTGTTGGGAGAAGATTATGTTGGATCTTATAACACTCTCTAACAATTGGAACTACTGGAAAGGCCACGATTGTTGGTGATGGCAGCGGCGTAGCTGCGACAGAAGTGAAGCAGCTTGGTGATGGGGTTTCTTTCCTAGTCGGCGGTTCCGTTGCTGGGGAATCACCAATCTCCGGCTTCGTCTTGACTGGTGGGGAAACGACCAGCGATGATGGTGATGTTGCAGGGATGACAGTCGCTGGAGTCGTTGCTTTCTCAGCCTTCACAGTGGTGGTGGTTCCACCTTGCTCTAGCGTGATTGGGAACGCAGATTGTCCCACCCAATCTTTGAAATCCATTATCTCCGCTTCCAACTCCATTTTTAGGATTTTGGTGAGTTCTTGAGTGATAGCCTTTCAAATCTCGACAAGGCTCGGTCTAGTGCCTACAACCGGGCTCTGATACCACTGTAAGAAACCTACTTCTTAGGGCTTCTAGGGACTGATCTTCGACACCCGTAAATGCTCATACGAATAGGAATTTAGGGATTGGAATAAGAAATTAGGGATTTGGATAGAAGAATTGGGGATTAGGGATTGAAGAACATAATTGGGGTTGAGATAGAAGAATGGCCGGTGGCCTTTGGGGAAGAACATGGACGAGATTGAGAGGGATTAAAGACTAGGATTTGAGAGATATTTTCTGTAATATTATTCATGACTTCCTATGACGTAAACCCAAGTTACATATTTATAGGGAAAGTAAGGGAAAGCCCTACTAAATAACCTAATTCTACCCAAATACTACTAAATCGAATAATAGTTATCCTACCATAAATAAATAAAGAAACCCACAAAAATTGGGTTTCTAATAGGTAGATATTACATGGAATGATAATTCCAAATATACATGAAAGAAAATCCATCACGTGGAGAAATGGAATGGGAAATTGCCAATTCAAATGAATTGAAAGTTGCATAATTCCATTGGACCATAGGTTAGTTCTTTTAATCAACTTAACCCAATAATTTAACTAATTTGGTACAACCCCAAACCAGTTGGACCAAATTTCCAACATTCCTCGTCCATTTTAGTGTATTCAATGAATTCACTAAAATTACAACATCCTTCCAACAAAACTTAAGCATAAATGAAAATTTCGTGACAATTGAATTTTCATCTTAGTATATTACACTTGACGAATATCCGAATATTTGGTGCCAGTAACGATTGAACCCATTTACTCATATGAATATTCGAAGATAATATACACTTAAGTTTTCGAAACTTCTAAGTGCCTTGACACTATTACCCGTCATGTGTCCAATCCTTCTCATAAGCACACACGAAACCAAAGTCCTAGTTTCTTGAAGCGACTACACTTCCTGCTTACATAGGTTGAATCTTTTATTCGTGTACTGATAGACCATTGATTGCACATGTTTTTACCCCTATTATTGAGCCGTTTGAGATGTTGATTCTTGTGTTTTAAGCAAATTTCACGCTGGGTTGGGTGTTTATGTCATATTTCAGGGCTTGAAATTGACATTGAGGCGAAGAAACGAGTTTCGGGTCGAAAGGAGGACGTTTGAGTTGAAGGGTGCTGGAGGAGCAAAATACCCGGCCATGAGCAAAAATACTCGGCCGGGTAAATTTCTGAGGAGGTAGGGGAAAAATGATTTTGGGCACCCAGAGTCCAGAAGGGGGCCCGACTGATGAGCAAAAATACTTGATCGGGTATTCTTGACCTCGATCGGGTATTAGCCCCTGTCCTGTGCGCTGCGTTTTGAAATCCCTGGCCGGACACCTGAAATAGCCGACCGGGGATTATGACCGGGGATCGCGGCCTGCTGGTTTTTTAGGGAAAGAAGGCTAATTTTTGAAGGGTTCCGAGTTTTAGAGAAAGAAAGTGATACCTAGAGATAGAAAGCGATGAACCAGAGTTCCCAAGCGCCTTAGATCGATCTTCATCATCAGTGGAGCCTGGATAAAGCTTGGAGACGTGCCAATTGACGACCAGAAGCAGAATCCCATTCTTCACAGCATGTTGTCTGCTTCTGAGCTAGAGTTTGCTTCTCTCTCCATGGAGTAACTTCCACATTCACCTAGGTATGAAGAACCCTAGATTTGTATGTTAGGTCTGATTGTATGAACCCAAGTATGAATCCATTGATTTCATTATATTCAATTGAGGTCTGGTTTGTTGAATGGCATGAATCCTGATAAAATTCTTGTTGTTTCTGCTTTGACCTAGAAAGAGAATATCTGCCTAGGTTGATAGAGCACCCTTGATTGAAGGTAGTGAATTGATGACTTTATTCGAGGAGTCAATTCACTATTCTGTACCGGGTTTACTCCGGTAGAGGAGGTTTGGTTTGTTAGGGCCTCAATCTGTTTACTCCGTTGGAGGTTAGTCGCCCGTTGGGGACTCAGATTGAGAGGGTCTGGAGACCTTTAGTCGAGACTGCAGACTGCATAAGAACCTCCTGCAGTATAACTATCTTTGAATACGAACTTGGTAAATTACAATCTGGCTTAACTGCAGTCTAGGGGGAAGCATATCCGGGTGACCTCTCTCAACTTGAAAACAACCTTTTACTGCTTTGTTTGTTTGTTTGGACCTTCACTATACTTCACTGCTAAATAATAAGAATTCACGGAGTAGTCATCACACTTAGGACCCGGGTTGACATTAAAATCCAAACCCGCTATACTACGCGCTAGTAGGTGGTTGCACTTGGCCATTTTCTAGTGTGACGGTAGAGGCGAGTCATGTACCCGCATAATACACTTTGTCAAAGATTCAATTAAGAAGTTTTGAACTTCATCCTCTTCCCTCATGCAGGATATCAAGAACATTCCTCGGGATGACAAATTGTGTGATTTAATTTCTGATAACGAGTTTTCCACATTGAATTCAGCCGCTAACGTTCTATTAGAGGGGAATTGGGTATCCCATGATCAAAAATTATATGGACTTCAAATCCATCCATTTCACAGACTTGACCACCAAGTCACTAGTTAATCATTTCATCAAATGATCAACCAAATTATCTCGAGTCTGGTCATATTGTCTAGACAGAAGTCTATGAATGACCAGTTCACAGATTTTACCGTTGTGCCTTACTCCCACATGACCGTACTTGTCATTTTTACTTTTGGCTATATGCTTTAGCCAAAGTATAATTACTACAAAAAGATAGTAATAAAGTGACATTTGTTTAAGCCATAAACGAACATCATAAACTAAATCTCTCAACCATCACATATTTTGACTCCATAGTGAAACCAATGATGCAAGTTTGCTTTTCAGAGGCCCAAGAGATGGCACCTCCCTCAAGCAAGAGGACTCATCTCGATGAGAAATCCAACTACATCCATAAATCCTTTCAAAATGGATGGAAACCCACTATAAGTTAATACATAATGCACAGTGCCTTAGAGATTTCCTAGTACATGCCTCATTCCATTCCAAATGATGAGCACTTAGGATTACTCATACACCAACTTAATGTTCCTACCCCATACGCAATATATGGTTGTATGTAAGTCATTGCATACATCAAGCACCCAATTTAACATGGAATACTCCATTTGTAAAACTAGTTGACCAATATTAACCATTAGTTCCATACTTGGATCCATTGGGGTCTTTAACTCATGACAATTCCAACTATGGAATTTGGCAAACACCTTCTCGATGCAGAAAAATTGAGAGAAGGAAATCTTTTTTGTCATTCCGCTTGATTCAATACACAGAATCACATTTTCCTCCCCCATGTCCCACATGGAGAATTTAGATGACAATAACTTTTGAGTAAATTTCACTTATCTTTTATTGGTTCCAAAGATAAGCATGTCATATACATACAAATGTATGGTGACTCTATTACCAGAATCATCATAAATTAAATATACATTTTGTCACTTTCGTTTAACATAAACCACTTAGACAAAATCACACCATCAAACCACTAGACAAATCCAAATTTGTCTAGGACTTCATAAATGTCGAATAAATAATTAGACAAATTAACCATTGAGTATGCGACCTACCCAAAGGGAATTTTCATTCTTCTATTTCTCTATTTTGCGAATCATTCTCCTTCTTCCTCATCTTCGAATCACCCTTCTTCCAAATTAACTTCCGAATATGGAATACACCATGAAACTAGTACAAAGAAACCCATATGCTACTGTCATAAATGAAAAACTCATCATCGACCATAATCATAATTCCATAGACCGGAACTGGTTTCTTGTAAAGAGCGGTTCGAGCAATCGTACCGAAAAATATTCTTTTTGATTGTTGGGACTCTTAGGACGAGGGTGTACGTACGATAGGCTGAGACCGAGTGACCAGGATTGTGATAGAGCCGTGAACAACGTTCACTTTCTGAAAAGAATATTTCCACCCTCTATATAAGCCTTGGGTTACAGGAAATTTCTCCCGAGAATAAAACTATCACCACTTTAGATTCTAGACTCAAGAACTCTAAAGTATACTTAGAAATTTTTGGGAGAATAGAATATATTTAATGGTATGTTATTCCACCACAATCTACCTCATATTTATAGGGATGGAATTGGTTTCATTGCGTCTTGACCGAAGCAATACATTACTTCATGAAAACGTTAGGTGGCTAGCGGCCAATTTCAAAACGTTGTCATCAACCAAATCCAACCACCATCTCATTTCATGAAGAGTTTCCTTGTATCACGACACAATGCATCACGTGGGGTAGTTATTACATGGAATGATAAGTCCAAATATATAGGAAAGAAAATCCGTCACGTGGAGAAATGGAATGGGAAGTTGCCAATTCAAATGAATTGAAAGTTGCATAATTCCATTGGACCGTAGGTTAGTTCTTTTAATCAACCTAACCCACTAATGTAACCAATTTGGTCCAACCCCAAACCGGTTGGACCAAATTTCCAACATTATCCTTATGCTTCAAGGAACCAGCAATTTTGAATCCATATGATAGCTCTTAGGGAGCAGGAACAAGAGCAGCAAGGAGTCAGAGATAAGTACAGTCCCAGATGAGGCGAGTCAATGCATTGTCATGCTTGTTATTTTTCCTATTTTTGTTTTCACCCTAGTTACCATACACATTTTCTAGAGAGTTATGTAAATCGCAGAACTAATGCAGTGTTGAGTGGTATTACAGTGTTATCTGAAAACCAACATATATAGCTAATGAAGGAGGGCATTTTGTTATTTTCTAAAAATTTCGCAATGACAATTCCCACACGCCAATTCCTTAGTTTTGAAAAATGTGAAAATTGAGGCAAATTTCCACATTTCCAAATTTCCACAACCAAACTACCCCCAAAGTTACTAATTTATCCATCGAAAAAGGGGTTCTTTACTTGAATTAAAAGGGTTAGTATTATTAACAATTGAAAAAGATAGTATTAGGGGCTACATTTAATTAGCATTATCATTAGGAAGCAATTAATTAGGAAGCAATTATATATATGTATATATATGGTGCCTTCTACGGTACCCCGGGTGAAATCCAGGGTACCGCAAACCTTGACTATGGAAACGGTATCTAGACCTCGAATTAGCAGGATGTTTGGGTCTGATACTATACCCTAACCCTTAATGAGTGAACCCTAGGTCCTAATTATCGAAATCATAATATATAAACCCTAAGATGGTGCATTCCTCTTTGTGCCTATATTTGGACGAATCATAACCGTCGATTATTGTTTCTAATCAAATTGGTCTTGGAGTATAAGATTGGAAGAATTAAGACCTAGATTTTGATCTTTAAGGGTTAGAGTATAGTATCATGTCCGAAAGATCGGTCAATTCAAGGTCTAGATAGTGTTTTCATACTCAAGGTATGCGGTACCCCGGATTTTACCCAGGGTACCGTAGAACTCGCCATATATATAAATTTTTTACTCGAATGGACCGCTACTATAGACGCTATCAATTGCCTCCTATCCAACCACATGGAAAGACTTAGCACTCGCTCTAATCACTGGAATCTAACCGGATGGGCTTAGCTTAGGCCTCCATGGCCCTCACACTGTATGGTATGGCTGTAACCCGGGCGCTTATCTTGTGAATGGCCATACTTTCTATTTTAATTAAATACTCATAAACGGCTTTTGCCCTTTCTCCCGCCGGCTTGAAAGGGACCCTGGAGAAGAATAAATGGCTGAGTGGAAACTTACCACTAAAATATATATATTATTTTTTTGCATTAAGGGGAGGCCAAGGCCAAGACAAAGAAAGCGTTACAGGGAGTACATGGAAGAGTAAGGAGAGTGAGAGGGAGCTACAATCTGTCGAGGCAAAGTTACCCCCATCATATCATCAGTAATGATCGTAGACAGACCTGGTGGCGGGTTTGCAAGCTCATGAACACCGCAGGGATAGACGAGACTGTGCTTCGAGAGCCAGTCTGCGACTCTTTTCCCTTCCCGGTAAACATGAGTAATGCTCACCAGCCACTCTTGGCTCAACTTCCTGCGAATAACCGAGAGGAGCGTCGCATGGGGATGCATCGGATCAATTCTAGAGCTAATCAGCTGAGTGGCAAGCTCCGAGTCCGTCACGACCCAAAGTGCCCTACAACCTGACTTCCAAACTATGTCCAACCCATAATGAAAAAATTGCCCCCCACCGGTGCGTCTCCTCTCTCTCCCCCTCTAGTGCCGCCGGATTTTGAGCTTCTTGTCTTTTTCTGGCCCAAAATTAAACCCAAATTTTAGCTCAATTGAAACTTTTGTATCTTTAGAATCACACTAAACTAGTTTTGGTTCAATTTTTTGAAATTTTAGAACTATATTTCATCGATAAACACTAAGGTGGTCTTACATCTCCACCTAGGAGAAGGAAATGGGCCACATGCCCATTGTTGTGCATTAATTGTTTGGCTCCTTCCGTTGCATTTAATTAGACTCAATTGCACATTTTCTTATCACTATATTTCATTGATAAACACTATGTTTGGCAACAAGGGGTGCAAATTCGAGGGTGGTGCAAGTTGAGAGGTAAATTGCAGGAAGGTGCAAATTATTGGGGTGTAAGTGGAGAGATAAATTGTTGTTTGTAAGAAAAAGTAGGGGGTGCAAATAGAGTAAAAAGTAAGTATTTTAGTATTATAAAATAAATTCATCAAATTTATAAAATATATTTATTATAAAGTAAAAATAATTATAAAATAATTAATATCAATTAATATATTTTAATTAAAGTAATTATTATATAATAGTGCTCAAATAGTAATTATTATAAAAACTGGTATAATAATTGGAGGAGCGACTTTGAAGCTTAGTCAAACACGTTTCACTAACAAATCTTATCTCTAATTTTCAATGCAAATTTGAGTCAACGAAGAGATCTCTATTTGACTAGACGAACATTGATAAACTTGCTCTCGGAATCAAACGGTCAATTCCGAACAATGTCTATATTAATGATAACTATAAGAAAAGAAATTAACAATATTAATTATTATATAATTAAAAAATAAAATCCATAATTTCCCTAGTCCCCCTTCTCTTCCTTCCTTCCCTTGCACCCCAATTCGGGGGTGAGTTGAAATAGTAATTCTGCACCTCCAGTTTGCATCCCCCACGTACTGTTCCAACTTATCAAAAGTTCAAAACAGGTGTAAATGTGTTGGAAACTGTGTTTACTTTTCACATTTGCACGCTCCTCCCATTTACCCCTCTTTCGAAACAGAGTGAAAGTGTTTTCTCATTCATTTATCGTAAAAAGTCAAATTTACATCTATTTATTTCAAATAGCATGTAATAGTCGGTCGACCTGCCCCATCCTATATTCATGCGAGTTTTACTCGCCCGACCCACAATAGCGTGGGATGAAGCACGGTATTGCCATGCCCCATTGCCGGGTGGTTAGTTCAAAGGGAGGGAGAAGACAAAATTGGAAAAAGAAGAACGCCAACTTGCTTATATATAGAACAGCGGTTCACTAAACCAACCACCAGGTCGTGACACGTAGGCCATATCCATGCATGCAAGGAGATAACATCAGTAGCCAAGTGGCACCACACTCATAAATCACAATGGCTATTGATAATTTGATATACAAGAGCAGAAGAGCTAGCTTTTACTCATATTTGGAACCAAATTCTAGCCAGGTCCATCCTCAACTTCAATCTGGACATCTCCCTTTACATATGTGGCAGTATTTGAGGGGATCGATATCCTTCAAACCAAAAACAAAAAATGGACACGTGCTTTTTTCCTCCCGACCGACTGGGCGACATGAGATGGCCATTAAGGCTATTAAGAGTGGGCATTAGTCAGAATTGAATTTAGATTAGACAGAATTGAATCAAATGAACCAAAAAAATTTAATCGTTGTTTGCAGGAAAAAAGAATTGAGGGTGGGCATTAGTCGAATAGGTCTAGAACTTAATTGGATCGAGATAGGATCGGACAAAATCATATGAAAATTGAAGATCGGAATCTGATAAAAAAAAATGTTTGGTTCATTTTTTATTCAATTATGTCTAATCCAAATTTAATTTCAGTCCACATTTTTCCATATTTAAGATAATTAACAGATCAAAATCAAATTTAAATATATCTGATTAGGGTACCTGGTACCTGCATACTAACCGGGGTTTTTTGATACCAACATCGGGGAGGCTTCGCCACAGGGCCGGCCAAGAGGGTGTGCTGGCCCGCCCTCCGGCACAAGACCTCAGAATATTAGGGGCCTCTACTTAGATTCGTTAGTTACCAATCGTATATTGTAAGTTGTATTTTTAGTGTATGATTGATTGATTATGAGTATGATGATGTGTTTAATAGATAATTTTAGCTATAATTACAATTGAAAAGGATCTCACGGAGAATACGAAAATCTGAAAAATAATAGATAATTTTATCTTAAACAATATAGAAAGATATTACATTTTGAATAATGTTATTATAATCATTTTAGTTTTATTGTAGTTAAAGGTCGATTTGGACCACGTCTAGATGTTGAAATAGGCCTCCACGATCTAGTAGACAACCCTGCACCCACTTCTCGATCAATTTAGACTATTTTCATTTTTCCATTCAATTTTTGCGCTATATCCATTTTCTCTTCCTTCCAGATTTACTTTCCTCCCTATTAAGGATGAGAATTCGGTCTTGTTTTCTTGGTCAAACTGGAAACAAGATCGTTTATTTCTGATGTAATCTTTTTCTGAACTTAAGTATTTTTTTATAATTATTTACTAATTTTTAATTTTGATAAAATTTATGGGGGAAAAAATTAGGGCCACATTTTAAATTTTCGAACAGGGCCTCCAAATATCATGGGACGGCCCTGCTTCGCCTCCGATACCAAGAATGCCGGGAACGCTCAAGTAGCGCCACTGAGAATCGAACTCAAACCTCCCACATCCATAACTCAATTGGTTTAGTGGTTTCACCACTAGGCTATGTTACCTTGGGCTAGTTAGTAGTTACCGTCCATCCCCTTTGGTCCTCTCCTCTCCCGTGGCTGTGGTTTTCTTTTAAAAAAAAAACAACAACAACAACAACAACAACACACGAGGTAATATCTCGACACTCTCGGGCCTCGGCCAGTGCGTTGTTAGGCAATGAAGTAGCTAGCTTAGCTAGCTAGTCCGTCCTCCCGCAATTAGGGCGTGCGCTAAGTCGAGGAATTATAAAGATAGAGAAGTATGGGGAGGAAGAAGGTGGAGATGAAGCGAATCGAGAACAAGAGCAGCCGCCAGGTCACATTCTCCAAGCGGCGGAGCGGTTTGATAAAGAAGGCCCGCGAGATCTCCGTTCTCTGCGACCTCCAAGTTGCTCTCGTCGTCTTCTCCCCCCACGGCCGCCTTTACGACTTCTCCGCCGGCGACAGGTGTTCATTCCTCCTGCTTATTCTCCACTTCGTTCCACCATTCTTTACTCAATCGATTAATTAATTAATTAATTAAGCTCTAGGTTGAAATCGAGCGTGAGTCAGTTTTGCTGTCTCTTTGGAGAAATTGCACTAATCGATGATTTCGTACGTTGATAGTTGGGCAAAGAAACATATTATACTTGGGCAAAAGATGGTGCAACTGCAACATATTGTTTGGTTATGTATAGGGAGAAAAGAGCTTGTCCACCTAGCTAGCTAGTGGTCTTTTTGGGTCAGATCAGATGCCTCTTTGTCAAGTTGGTCTATGGGAGGGACGCCCAATTCTCCACCCAAAGATCAATACCAACGATCCATTAGGGATTCCAAGCGAGCCCAAACCCTCAATGAGTGATTAGATCCAAGATTATGAGGTCAAGGTAGAAGATCTCAATTCTTTCATCAATTCATTATCACTACCTCAATCCATAAATCATATTTTTCTCATTTCCTATTTGTTGGTTTCAATAAAGGAGTAAATCTATTACTAGCTAGTTTCTATCTTGAGCTTATTGTTTAATGCTTTTTCTTACAAAGTTGCCAATACAAGTATCGAAGAACTCGTGATGTCTATTCGTTGGATTTTCACTAGTCCACCTTGATAGTCATGTATATTATCCCCCACTTGATTGTTTATATGAAAAATGATTGAGACGAGACATGACAAATGCCGTCGAACATGGAAAGATGACAAACATAGTGGTGGTGTAAAGACGATTTGGATTGAGATTGTCCTATGGAGTATATCAATGTGCTCATTGAAGTTTTTCTGTGGACTAAATCACTTTGTTTTGGTTAGTATCCTTCATTTCGCTTACATTGCTAGAGAATTGGTCGGGAATACTCTGGATTTGTATACGAATTCTCTTAAATTTCGATCCTATCCTATGATTTGGAGTTGATTTTTGTGGTGAAAAACTTATCTTATACTTATAAAGGAAAATGTATTTGTTGTAGGAAGCATCTGTTGTGTAGGACAAAGAGACTACTTTCTTCATTGCGTGTTGATCATGTATGTTTCTAAGTTCTAATCTACTATATGGATCGTGAGGGTGTGTGAGATACTCATTTGTCCAACTGCCTTGGGTGAAAAAGAATGGAAGTACATTGTAAGCAATTATAGAACATTGCTACTATGGTTTAGGTTCATGTTAGGAAGGATTGTTTCCCTTGATTGTTGCCTTAATGAGTCAATCTTAGGTTTCAAGATCACTGAATGGCTCCCTAAATCAAGATTAACTTAGTCGTTCAAGTTTACATCCTAAACAAGTTCTTGAGAGTCGACTTCCCAATTAATAGTCCATTTTCAGCTTGTCCCATTTGAAACACCCCCTTAGAAGTGTATAAATGTTTATTTACTAGATAGACCCAAATTATTGTATCTTGGGCTTTGAGGCTAGAAAAGCCCCCTTCACTTCATGGGTTAGAGTACAATGAGATGGTTACTAGGCTATGTCAAGTAGAGCTATCTATTAGTGATATCATTGTATGGTTCTGCTTTGATGCTTCAAGAAGTAGGGTCATTCAATTTGAAGGGCTAGAGTATAGTTATATAAATGTATAGTTAAGCTAAGCTAGATGATATAATAAAAGGCTTAACCTTGTTCTCCACTATCATGGTAAAGATAGACGAAAACCCCTCTGACCTACTCACATTATTGACCCGTTTAATTGTGTCTGAGGAGATTACTTAATATTACAAAGAACCATTGTATATGCATAACCATTTAAGGTGTAACATTGCTTTGTACACGTTATTATCCTAGTAAAGAACAACAAAGAACCTCAGTTGCCATAACCACATAGCCAACTCGTGGAAGTGTGTGTCTGATGTGATTACTTGTTTTTCCCCCTCTTTTGTGACTCGTATACGAAATTTTACGTGCGTGTTTTACTCATAGATTATGATCTCGTCTGTTACAGCGTTACAAACATTCTAAAGCGGTATCGGAATCAAAATGATGCCAATGATGCAGAGGTGATTGGTTACTTTTGGTATAAATGGAAAAAAGATCCTAGTAACCATGACTAATTTCTTCCATGATTACGTTATTATCTAAAACAACAACTATCTGATATTCTCTCTCTCTACAGAGTAGCAATGATGGTCTAACAGGAGTCTCTCCCGCTGCACTATTGCAAATTATCCAGAGGTAACCATTGTTTCCTATGGCAATTTGCTTTCAGACTGGAAAAAATTTCTTAGTGGGGCATTGTTATAGTGCAGGTATGTTGTTGAAGATCCAGCTGATGATGTACAGTTGACCCTGAACGACCTTGAACAGTTAGAAGAGCAAATTGAACTGGCTCTAACGCAAATCAGAGCTAGAAAGGTTGGCTTTTTTTAGCTGCTTTGAACATTCAGAATATCAGTTGATGTTTTGTTTGAACAGTCAGAATACAAAATGCTGTTTCCAGCATTTATGAGCATGGTTAGGGGTATGCATTCATTTGCTTGATATCTTTATGTCAACTTCTTCGTGTGATAAGTTAGATGTTGTCTGATACAAGTAGCTACTAGGCTTCAAACTGATCATACAGGTCATTTCTATTTCTTCTTCTTCCCTATTTGGTATGAAAGCAAGAAACCCAAGATGGCTTTTGATGGGATTTGCATCCACATCACCACTCAGTCAACCCTTTTGTGTTATTTGCTTAGATGTTTAATACCTATCATTATTACTACCAATCATCTCTAATCTTGTATGAGACTACCTATAATAGCTAGTTGGGAGTTGATATCTTTCATTCTCCAGCATCCACAGATGCTGCTAGCTCATATCTACTTGTCAGCTGGACGTTGTTTCCGACTAGCTTTCTTTTGTTAAGCAACCAAAATGTTTCCCCTGAGCAGCTTTTTCTAAATCTTTCCCCTGACTTCTGGCTTGTAGATGCAACTGATGTTGCAGCCCTTAAAGACCCTTCAGGAACAGGTACTCAATTTGTGGCAAGGATTTTCAGTATTTTGTATCTTGTGTTCTATGCTTTAACAAGTTCACAGTGGCTCATACACTTCCTCTACCTAGATAATCTGCCCTTATGGCTTATACACTTCCTAGTTTTGCAATAATGGTTACCTAGTTGTTGGGTTCCACCAAATTTAGCAGACTCATTGTTGTTTTGCCGAATCATTTCCCCCGCTGCCAGGAAAGCAAGCTAAAGGAGGAAAATGAGCTCCTACAGCAACAGGTGAGAAGTCCTTTTCATTACTTTCAGCATTCAGTTTGTGACCTCCCTGTCTAACGTGATGCCCATCGATTTCACTACATACCTTTATGATAGTTCATTTTTTACTTTACAAGTCATGAATCCTAACCATTCAAAACAGAGGTTATCATATTTGACCTCGATAAACTGGTGCGGACTATAATGTGTTGTAATGTGAATTTCTGATAGCAAGGTACTTGCTGTAGACAGGAATGGCAATTTTGACCTGACCCGTTTTACCTGACATGTTTGGCTTGTTTTGGGGTGGGGCGGGCATGGGTACTCTCATCAACCCGACCTGTCCTGACCCGCCTCATTCTCGACTCGTTCTTACCTACCTAAATTACATATAAACTTAGTCAAATTACTTAGGAATTTTCTTTTATTACATCATAATTTAGCTATAATAAAGTTGTAAATTAGTGAAAACCTCAATTTCTCTAATAATTTAACTACATTTATCATAATATTGTTTGTTTTCTTGGTCTTATAATAAAAATAACGAATGTTTCTAATGTTTTTCATATAAATTGCATACTCATTGGGTCGACCTACCCTGACCTGCGACACGTGATAAATTACCCGACTTGCCACGGGGCGGGTCTGGGTACCAAGAAACCCGCCCCGGACCTGCCCCATTGCCATTCCTAGCTGTAGTCAAGAAACCCGTCCCGGACCTGCCCCATTGCCATTCCTAGCTGTAGTCTGTAGATCGAGATAGGTAAATATGAATTATGATATCGTTTCATGGTGGTACATTGGATTCATTCCATCCCTCTGCAAATTATAATTCCCTAAGGGTCCTCTAGATCGAGTAAATCTAGAATTGCACATAATGTTGATGATACCTTGCATTCCATTGACTTGTGATTTTCTCAATCTGCTGATATAAATTAAATCTCTCTGAGTCTTGACCCTTCAAAACACAGATCAGTATATTTCAGTCCCGATGGAATAGAGACAATACAAAGAACACGTAGATCGAGAAGCAAACATGCTATTGTATGTCATTTCATTTTCAATGGTGTTAAGGGTTCAACCAAAGCTGTGAGTGTGCTTACAGATTTCGGCAGCCGCGAGCGATAACAACACTGCCTATGGCACCATCAAGGGCTCGGTGCAAGATGTGGTTCAAGCGGCGACTCTGCAGTTACTTCATTAGGAGGCGGAGAAGGCTTCCCTGAACCAGATTCTCAACCCTGCGTAGCAATCTTTTGGGAAGCAGGCAAAGCTTATACAAAAAATAAAATTGCGATAGTAATCTGGCATCCCAAGTATACTGTTGTGAGCTCTTGTCGAAAAGTAAGTGTTATATTGTGTACCCTGGTACATCGCAGAACAACTACTGATATCTGCGACTTCAGACGTCGGATGATGTTTTGTTAACTCCATTATATTGAACAAGCAAGTGCTGGTTGTTTTGGGAAGGGACCTTGGTAATAAGGCTACAAATGTTGAACAAGCTAGTGCTGGTGTTTTCGGGAAAGGACCTTCACCTTGGTAATAAGGCTACAAATGAACCAAGTTGTTCACAAGCGGCTGAATGTTTGGCTGGGAATTCATTTGAGATTCGACTTGTATATTAATAAGTCTATTTTGAACTAAGTTTTGTTCAACTTGCAAGACTCGCAGCGTAAATTTGTATGTTTTGAGCTCATAAGATTTCTCAACATTGTGACTAGTGAGCTAACTAGATTACCAACTTATGAGCAAACTTTTCTGTATCTTATGAATTGTCATGTTGAACATTTATAGGTTCGCTAAATATATATCTCACCACTTATAATGTTATGTGAGTAAATATGTTGCATTAGAAATAATGCATCGTACTAATTACTGGATTAAAAACATGATATGAACTTGTAGAACTTTATGTTCTTAGAGTTTAATTTATGAATATATAATACATTACATACAAATATTGAGGAATTTAATTTATAAATTATCTTAGAGTTTAACTTAAGGTTCAACTATTTAGAATAAATGAGTTAGTTTAGACCAAATTCGTGATCTTATTGATGGGCGAAATTCGTGATCTTATTGATGAGCCAAACTTGAGTATCGTCTGTGAGCTCATTAATGAGTCCACCTCAATACAAACACGAGCTAAGGTTTTAGTAAATGAGTCAGCTCGACGTCAACTCAATTCAACTCATTAATAAATGAGTCGAGCTCGACTATTATATTAACGACTCGAGCCTAAACAAGACAAAACTCGACTTGGCTCATTAGCATCCTTATTTGGTAAGTACTTGCAGGATTCAAACAATCTAGAATTCTCGTGTTATCGAAAATTTCATGTACATTTTTGGATAATTTAGTGCTTCTGCTTGAGTATTAACAATTGATATCCCATCCATTAATCTTGTGTTCTTTCAAAAGAAACTGGGTACAAGTACATCTATAAAGCAAGTATTTGTCTAATTGTACTATTCGAGATAACAACAATCTAACAACATCCGATCCATTCCAAATCATTTATTTGTATAGTTTTATTCTCATTCCTCATTATCATTCATCGGTTGATCCTTGATAATTAAGTATTTTGAATAGCCTATCTTGAAACCTACGACCTATAATATCTTTTGAAAAAATCATGCAATCAACAATGCGAGTTGAATAAAACACTTGCTCGTTACTTCTCTACTTAAAATCATCAGACTGCAAATCTCTAGATAATCAAACTGGATTGCAACACCTCATAACAAATGGAGTTATACTATTCGACAGAGAACCTACAATCAAAGGCGTCAACTAACAATGGGGAACAAAAGACGAAAGAAGGAAACTCAGAGTACCTCGATCAAGCTTTTGCTCCAGAGAGAGTAGAGAAGAGAGGAGGGCTTGTGGAGTAGTCTCAACTGTAATAATCTATCGTCGTCAAGAATTTCTTCAAAGCTGGATTGCATTTCCGTTTCCTTGGTATGGTCGCAGGGGAATTCGTTTGTGGTTCTGGGAAAGGAGAAAGCAAAGCAAATGTGTTGTGCTTTTGGAAACAGAGAAGAATGCAAGAAGTTGTATGAAAAAGATCGAACATGGGTTTAGTTTAGGGGTGAAAGGCCGGCCGCCGTAGCATATCGCCAAAGGGCAATAGCGGCAACTTTACTGTTTGTTAGGGCAGGACAAGCGGCAACTTTTAGACACTACTCCCAAGGCAAGTTGGGGGATTCCCAAAATTAAAGAAAGAAGACAATATGGCTAAGTATCCACTTTTCATTTCATCATCACCAACCTCCTAATAATTTATTCTCTTCTTTCTCGGTTACTACGTTCCCTTTGTTGGAATGCTGAATCTTAGTCTTATGGTACCTCATACCATAATCAAACACGGGGATTTCACGTGCTAAAGAAAAATACGGGGATTTCACACGTCTATTGGGTTGAGACGAAGGATGTTTCATCTAGTCTAGCTCGTTGGCTCGGTTCGATTTTCGTTGGTTAACCACTAAACCAAAAAAAATCATATCCATAAGAGTTAATGGTTAATCGCTTGTTATCGCCGTTGGCTCGGTTCGATTTTCGTTGGTTAACCACTAAACCAAAAAAAAAAAATCATATCCACAAGAGTTAATGGTTAATCGTTTGTTATCGAATCAGTTAGCTGTTAGTTAAGCGATTAACAACTAACAAATAACAACATTCACATGTGACCTTTTTTTTGTTATTTTGAAATATTTTATGGTTTCCTTTTTAATTGTAAAATATAATCATACAAATAACTCAAAACAATTTAACTTAAATAAATTAGATAATAATTACAAGAAATATGATCAATCCAATACAACACTATCGTGAATAAACAATCCAAATCCGAACACCTAAAATTACAAATAATCAAAAGTCTTCATCCAATTAGCGAGTACCAACTAGCAATACATCAAACACAAATACCTCATCATTGATTTTGAATCTGAAAGTTACAAGTTCGAATCCCTTCAATAACACCTCACTATTATATAAAAAAAAAACTCATTACCCTTACATAAAATAAAATAAAAATGGGAATAACCTTAATTCCGAATGGGAAGGTATTGAGATCACACTAATAAACTTACAGGAACATCATTGTATATGATTCCCTTAGGCCTTGTTCGGCTGAATTGCCTACTGTGTTGCTGGAAGGAGATGATGGACAACATTTTTATACACTAATTTTACAATACTTTAGTCATTCAAATTCATGGTAGAGAATTTATGTTAAGAGTATAATATGTCACTTGTTATGTATTTTTATCAAAACATCCTCTTCAATTATTATTACATAAAAATACAAATGTGCTTCAGAAATATTATTATCAAACATGCTCACTCTGTTAAAGTTTCGGTCCAAAAAACTGTTAACCACAATTGAACATGGTTTGGGCGAAAATGGTCTAAATTACTCCTAATAATTGAACTTTCAACATATTTTTTCTTCTTCTTTTGTATAGCACAATACGTCAATACGTCTACAAATTTCACTTTAACGAGATTTAGAGAAATGAAATGAGGAGCAAAACTAACATCTCCCCCTTTTTAACAAGGTCAAGTCATCCAAACCATGGTTCGACTGTGATTGACGAATTTTAGATGAAAATTTTAACAGAAACATATGTTTGATAATATTTCTAAAGCTACAGTATATTTGATGTAAAAATTAGTAAATGTGCATGTTTATATTAAAAAAAAAAGACAGTAGATAAAGTACATTATCCCTATAACCCTTTATTTTAGAGACTGAAAAAATTTATTTGTTGACCTAATTTTGAAAAGGCGAATCATATTAACTTATTAATCATACGGGTTCGAAAAGTAAACAAAAATTATTTTTATACAATTCTTTTCATAGTAGGTCCTTCCAATGGCGATTGATCAAGCAACAACATATAATATTTACAAAGAGAAGTCCTATACTATTAATCATCGCTCATTGGATAAACAACTGGTATACTTTTCCTAGAGCTAAAAATATAGTATCACGTGGATTGGAAGCGGGCCTGAAAGCTGGATTGCTGTTCCAAGAAAGCAAACTCGTCGGCCCGCCTACAATCCTTACGTGGGGCTTCTCCCCGTCTTCCCATGACCCGTCGAACTCTTTTTTGCTTCATAATCATTTATTTTCCCTTAAATCATTCCAAGCAATCCGCTTTTCCCCAGTGATACATTTAACACCATTTGAATATGATCGCAAAAAGAAATCGTGGGTCATCAAAAGCATTAATCGAAAGACAAGCTAGTCCAAACCATCTAACGGAAAAGTGGCTTTTACCAACACGTTTGTAAGAAGTGTTGAAATTATTTTATATGCGATATGTAACACTTTTAGTAGTGTCACCTAAACGTGATGTTACCTAAAGTAATATATAACAATTTTTTTTTACTTTTTGCAGCAACAAAAAAAAAAAAAAACTTTGTTGCGCATGGATACCTCATATGCAACATCATTTTAAGCAACACATCCAAAAGTTATGCAATACTTTTTTGGCGAATATAACCAACATATACATGCTTTAATTATGACAATTTTAATCGTCACATAAGATAAACTCAGCTCTGAAACTTTCAATTGTAACAAATATTGTGACTCTTTTGTATCGTCCCAAATGTATTTCAAATATTGGTAGTTTAAAATACTCAACCCTGAATTATGAAAGGAGAGGAGAAGTTTGGTAGTTAATAGTTCAAATCACTAAATTATTTGCGTCCAAGTTAAGCTAGAAAACGACATTCCTACAACACATACAAGACTGGTTCAACACCACTTTCACAGGCGATACATACATCCAAATATCATAATTTGTATGGATGTCCGCGATGAAATCAAAATCATAATTTTGTGTAAAATCGAAAACTGAGATAGAATCGAAATCATATATTAAAATTATGAATGTTAATATTATTATATTCATATTAAAATTAACACCTAAAATATCATATAGTAATAACAATGCATATCCTTACTAACAATCAACCACATATCACTTTTTACTTCTCAATATATATGTTGGTCTGCTAAATAAACTCAAATTAATAATAGATTTGTTCTTGTGTATGTCGTGTGGGTTTAGAATGTGTGAGAAGTTGATGACACGGAGATGCTTAACTCTGCATGGTCAATGCCACTTCCAAAGAGCGCACCAATCAATCTCTGAAGCCACAGGTAATGGGAACGGATCAGTTCAGTAATCTTATGGTGAGTAATTATGAGTAACCTGTCCACATTAGTATGACATCAGCATTTCTCTCTCTCATGAAAAGTCTTTAATTTTCCCCTCCTTAATCTTTGACGGACGATTTCTCACTTGTTTTAAATTGAAATTTAATTTTTTTACACGGTTAGATTAGATTAATTGTGCTCTTCAAAATTATATCCACTTTGATATATTTTTCGAACAAAAAATATTGTGCCATATTTTACCAGTCTATACCATATGGTATTGACTGGTATTGAAATAAGAGCATACCTATGGTTTGAAAAGCGTACCATGGTGGTATGAACAAACCAAGACTGTAGGATGGTTGAATACATGATAGTAGAAATATATTAACTGTCATTTACCACTTTTAACATTGTGTACCATAAGATACCACCCCGTACCAGGGTGGTATTGTATGATATTGTGTGATATTTTTTGGTCCTGTAATTTGTTCACCCAGAAATTTGTAGATCCAATAGATCATGATGAACTCGTCCCTTCTGTGCAAACGTTTTCAAAAATGAATTAAAAATGAAGAATATACTATATGGCATGCAGTTGGTACCGAGAGGCCAGAATTTTTTGTTCTAAAAAGATATTGAAAATTGATCTTATTTTGTAGAGCACGATGAACTCGTTCCACCTGTGCAAAAAAAAATCCGAGTTAAAACGAAAAAGATATGAGCCGATTAAGAAAGTTAGGAAAAATAAAAATAGTCTTTAATTCTCCATCCTTATATCTGAATTTTCTAAATGAAAGGTTCATATTTGGTTATTGATGGATGCATAACCCATGGTTATGCACCCTATTTTCTGCGGATTTCAATTTTAGTTTGGGATGCGTTCACTTAACAGAATTATATCATCGACTATTTAAAAGTGGAACTTCGAAAATAAAATCATAAATATCAGTTTTGTGTTCGGTGTACTCACTATTTTTTGTGCATACTACCAGTACACTCCAAATCATGTTTTAAGACTTAAAAGCTTATGCTTTTACACTTCTTTATTATCAAAACGCTTCTACGCTTAAAATCACACTTTTTACTTACAAGTGCCGTCAAATACTACGCTTTTACGCTTCTAAATCACCAAAACGATTCTACGTAGAATCACTATTTTAACTGCATTACCCGCCTCATAATCGTCATTTTGAGCAGACGATTCATGTCAAAACGATGTCAATCGCCACGTGTTATTGAGATCAACTGGTTCTTGACATGGTATCAGAGCCTTTTGTGACCGTGAGGTCTTCTGTTTGATTCCCGATGACCCCCATCTGTTTCTGTTAAGCACACGGTGCCCGGACCTATGCCTGTCCAAACTCCAAGTCTATCTGAATGGCTTGAGTTTGAAGGGGGGTGTTAGTAAATGATACATGATCCATAATTGAACCTCTCCCAACAACTCAAGTTATTGGGATCAACTGGTTCTTGACAAGCGTAATATATTAATTAGTTATGATCCTATGATATATAATCATATGATGCCTATGCTCCTAATTAATATTTAATATCTAATATTTTAAAACTAATTTTAGAATTGAATCCATAGTATGCACTCATTTTTGTGAGTGCACGCAAGATCCGTGCTACCATTATAATATTTTTTATGCAGTGCATTTTTTAATGAATTACTTTTTTCTGTAAGTATTAGCATGATACAATATTTTGGGTGTTACTTATGCTAGATTTCCCTACATACTCTACTCGGCCAAGAAAGGGCCCGGACTGTATGACACAAAACCCACAAGTGTTCATAGTTCCTGTATTGCAAGAATGAACCCAATGAGTTGAAGGGAGGTTGACAATCTTTATTCATTAACCAACAGAAGAGCTTTAGTATCAATTTGTAATTTATTGAGAAGACAATTAATATCATATAGATTTACAACTTGAATGAAAAATATACTCACTCGTGATTTACATCTCACGTACTTTTCATTTCGGATATGGTTAGAATTTTAAATCATAATTCGAAAATGGTATATAAAAAAACGAGTCCACCGATCTCATTGTCATTTCTAGAACAAGAAATAACATAAAAACAATATTTAATTTAACCACAAAAAACTTGCTATAGTCAAAATGTCGAATTGAGCATATTATAAGTAGAAAGCCAAAAAAACGCCTAACATGTGCAACTAGCTCTATGATGTTAGTATATTGTAGAAAAACTATTGTAGAGATAACATTATTGAAATTATTTCTTGATGAAGAGATAACATTAATGAAGTTTGTTATGATCGGCCCTTCTCAATCATTTAGATCCATTCATGATTTGGTCATCCCCGACCCACCTAACCTAACACATTAATGAAGTTTGTTATGGGTCCTGTTGGTGCGAGAATTGCATGTTCATTTTAATTACCTCTAAAAAACTAAAAGTGGTATGTTGGGATGAAACTATTTGTGTAATGTTTTAAGGGCAATGTCTATTTTTTACTCAAATCTTTCAAAATTCTTTTATTTTACCCAAACCTATCAAAATTCTATTTATTATCCAAACTTATTGTAAATTATCAAAGTCTGGTCAGTCGTTATGTTACCGTTACTTATTTCGTAACGGAACTCCACGTCAGCTTACACGTCTGAAATTAATATTTTTAATATTATAAATAAAAGACAAATATATTTATTTATCTGATTAATTGGGTAATTCTTACCCTCTCTTCGAAGCCTCGCAACCGCCATTAGACGCCTCGCCGTCGCCATTTGAAGACTCGTCGTCGCCGTTCGGAGACTCGCCGCCGCCGGTCGAGTCTTGCGCTGCCGTTCTTAGTTTCTTCCCTCCACCATCGTCTCACACAATGTAAGATGTAGTTACCCTTCGACATTGGGGTTTGAGCAGTGGTGTCGAATCTCAATAGGATTGTTGATTGAGATGTTTCTCCTGTTCTGAGTAATAGAAGCAAGAATCATGTCTGCCAGGTCGAGCTCTGCAAGGAAGGGATGCGCAAGGGACGAATCTGCAAAGGAGGGTTCTTCTAGCTCGACCAACGCAAATAACGATTCAGTGCCTCGTTGCGACCACAAAGTTCCATGCATTGGGAACAAGTCTGGTACCTCTAGGAATCCCGAAAGGCAGTTTTATTGCTGCCCATATTGGAAGGTAATGTATTTTGGTTTGTTTTGTTGCTTGTTGACCTAAATTTGAAATAGCCATTGCCATTCCTAACTCTTGATTTTTTAGACTGAAGACTGCAGGTTCTTCATATGGTTGGATGTGTATGAAATGCAGATCAGGAATGGATCATGGGGTGACTTGTTAGCAAAACTTATTGAATCAGAAGAAATGAATAAGAAGTTGTCAGAAGAGTTGCTTAGGACCAAAGAAGATCGAGCAAGGATGATATCGGAGATGAGCAGATTGAGCAATGTGATTTGTAGTCTAGATAGTAGGATAAGAAGCTTGATGGTCTTTTGTGGCAAGTAAGTTCAGAATGTAAGTTTCACTGCTGTGGCAAACAAGTACCAAATGTAAGATTGATTGTTGTGGCAAACTAATGTATCTGCGATAGTATTAATTGACCTCACCCCTGTCATTGATAAGTAAAGAGGAGGGTACAAGATGAATCGAGCTCTTACAAAATACAATGAGGCTGACCTAAGTCACCACAAAAGCTCAATATGTTTCATCATGCCCTGCTAACACAACATACTACCTAAAATTTACAACTAGAATGGTGAAAGATGTTGCAAGATGAATCGAGCTATTACAAAATACAAAAGAGGGTGAACAAAGTGAGTCACCACAAAACCTCATTAAATTTGATCATCTCATACCCTTCCTAAGTTATCTACCAACTACATAAACATCATACCCTACACAAGTTATCTAGAAACTATATAAAGCTCATTCTTGAGGCTGAGATGGTGGCTGAGTAGATGGCCCTTGAGTATCATTAAACTCAGTTTGTTGAGCTCCCAATCCAGTCGTAGATGTACCAGCTACAGCTTCCAGATCAGTATATATTGCCTCTCCACCTAGAGCATCCCTCACTTCTCTATCAACCACCAAGTTCCTATGAAGAGGCTGACCTGCTCCAGCCTACACCAATCAACAGAATTATTCAGTGAAGAGTGATGCATTATAACACAAGATAAACTAAAATCAAGCATGCTTACTTGTGCTCCTCTGTTATCTGGGCATTTTCCTAGCATTGTGTTCTGTTGACTTGCATACACCACAATGTTGAACCCTCTTTTCAAAGCAAATAAGCAAGTTAGTGTAAAAGTATAGCAAACCTTTGTGGATGTAAGTCTGGTCAGAGTTGTACCATAGGTGGGTTTGAGCCACCATGTTGCTGCCCTCTTCCTCTCCCCCTGCCTCTCCCTCCAGTACCATGGTCAGCAGCATCACGAGGAGGGTTTAGGCATTTTATGGAATTGTGCGCAACAGCCCCACAATTGGTGCAATGCATCACCATTCCCACTCTTTTGGCTGCTGTACCAGTAGGCCTTCCATTCTTGTGAAAAGTCATCTCCAATTCACCTGCCTCCTTTCTTCTTTTCTTCTTCGGACGTCCCGACATTTTCTTGTAAATTGGAGGGTGAACTGGATAACCATCAGCAGCTAGCCATGCTTGTTGCCCTACCACATCAGGTACACTACCAAAATATGCCTTCCGAACGGTTGATACGAGGAATGAAGTGTGCACAAAGTCCTCCAACTCTTGCCTCATTAACCCTATAGCAGATAGTGCATGGCAACAAGGAATGCCACTCAAATCCCATGCCCCACAAGTGCAACTACGATCCTGCAAGTTCACAATATATGTTCCTACCCCATAACTAACCTCAGCAACAAAATCAGAACTAGCTCTAGCAACACACATCCTAGCCTTCAAATCCTCTATAGTGATCGTACTCATGACAGCTGAACATATAACTGACTGCATCTTCTCAAACTTCTTATGTTTCTTCCTCATTTGGACCATAATGTACCCTCTAATGGCCTCTAACATTGCAATTATCCGATACTCCCTTGCCTTCACAATGACATTATTCCAGCTCTCACAAATATTGCTTTCCACAAAGTCTGATTTTGGGAGTCTAGAGAGGAAAGCACGACAAAAAGTCTTGGGGTCTTGCTCCATAAAGTCTGTAAATGGGGTCATTACTGCTTGTGCACTTTGGAAAGCCTCCATTTTGGTCGTGGCAGCCTCATACTCTGGCACATTACATGCATAAACTGCCTCCTAGTAGATATTCCGCATCTTCTCATTCTTAACCTTGACATTCCAATTTGCAAACACGTGGCGGGCACACTTTTGATGCTCGACACTAGGCATAACTAGATTGATTGCTTCAACTAACCCATGAAATAAAAAAAGAACAAATCTTAGACATTCAGGCCCACAAAACATGCTTTATATATGTAAAAAAAACAGCAAGGTTGGGAATACCTTTTGTTGGTCAGAAACTACGCTCCATCCAACCTCGTCCCCGAATCCCAACTCCTCCTGCAAGTGCTCTAGAAACCACTTCCAAGAACTCTTGTTCTCACCCTCTACAATAGCCCATTCGAATGGGTAAATGTGACTGTTTCCATCCTTCCCCACGGCAGTCAGCAGCATTCCTGGAACCTCGCCCTTGAGGAAGCATCCATCGATGGAAAAAATTGGCCTACAACCAGCCAAAAATCCCTTTCTTAAGCTGGAAAACCCAACATAAAACCGTTTGAAATGCACCTTATCAGCCACTTGCACATCCGACTCAACTTCAAGTTTGAACCGTCCCTCAGGATCTGCTACTATTAGTGCAGCCACATAACGGCGAAGCTTGTTATACTCTTGTTTAAGAGTACCACATAACATCTCTTTAGCAATGGCCCTCGCAGTATAACATGCCTTCAATTCAACATCGACTCCAAGCTCCCGTTTCACCTCCATCGCAATAAGTGAGGCTTTCCAATCTGGCTCACTCTTAAAACGCTCAAGGAAGTGCTCGGCAATAAACCTAGCAATTGCTAGGTTAACTCGAGTCGACCTAGTGCATGAGTGAGGCAACCCAACCCTTAAGGCCATAAGAAACGCATTCCCTGACCACCAGGCAGCATAAACCCTCCAAGAACAATTCTGGTCTTTGCACTTGAACCACTCCTCCTTTCATCACTTTTTGTACACCACACACTAGCCCCAGCAGCCACATCATGCTTACTGATTGCCCTTTTAAAGTCTTCAACATTTAAAAACTTCGGCCCAACTGTGAACTCCAACACTTTGTGATCACAATTTGGATCGTAGAAAGACAAATCATCAAACATATATGCGGGTTCCTAATCCTACAAACCCGAGCTTCTTCTATGGGCAGAAACTGAAGCCTCATTCTGGCCATTTTCTTCATCTTCATCAGGATTGTAGTTTCCATCATCTTCTTCCTCATCCATGTCACCAGCATCTCCCATAGGAAGATCCACCTCTTCCCCTGCTTCACTATCTGGACTGTTGACCATTGGAAGATGAGTCTGTTTCTCAGATGACTCCTCATTACTAGAGTTAGCCACATTCATTATCTCCTTAGCAGCCGAATGTCCCCCACTTCAAAGTAGTCATCATTTTTTTCAAGCCTTGCCATGTTGTTCGCACTGTCATTGTCGCCCATCAAACCATCATCAGCCTCGACACAATCAACAAATAGTGAGACCTCCTTAGATTGTGTTGTATCAACCAGCAGACCCTCCACGATTTCCTTGTCGGTCTTGATTTCGTGTAATCCCTCTGCCATTGGTGCTCCAAGAGTCAAGTACCACATCTTCCAGACTCCGTAGTAGTTCAAGTATCCAGTGTACAAAGACAGAATCCCAAAGTAGGACGCTTCATCAACATCCACCTTAAACTTCTCCGAAAACCTCCAACATACTTTGGGGAATCACCAAAAAAATCCATCACTCCTCCATAATGGAAATCGAGATTCATATATTCAGTCATCTGTAGCAAAAGGTTCGAATTAGGTTAAGGGTTTGAAACCACAAAATCACACCACTATCAAAATACACCAAAATCACAGGTTAGGGTTCGTAAAAGGGTTCGAATATGGAGAAGTGATTTCGTCTTTGAACCAAAATATCAGAAGGATTAGGGTTTGAATCGAAAACCTAGAACCATCTTACCTTGCTCGAGCAGAGACAGTTGTCCGGAAGAGATGGAAGCGTGATTCGGCGACAGTTGCTTGCTTTCTCTGCAACAATTCGGAGACAGTCCGTTGCTTGCTTCAGCTCGATTCTAGGTCGCACGTCGGTGGAAGAGATGGAAGCGCGGCGCTGGGTGCTATGACCGTCGGCGCGGGCAGGCGACGGCAGAGCTTGCTGCCTCGCCTGCTGGAGAATGATGTTTCGTCGGGCGATGGAAAAGTAGGGGAGAAACTGGGGAGAGGGAATTGGGAAGGTAAGAACGAATGGTTTTTTTTACTTTACTTGCGATTATTTTACTGTACAAATCCTTTTTTTTTAATTAAAAATAGACTGCCACGTAGGAATCCACCTCGTTCTGACGCTGATGAGTCAATAAACATAACATAACAGTTAACGGAGGGGTAACGATTGGATAATAAATAGAATTTTGATAGGTTTGGGTAAAATAAAAGAATTTTGAAAAGGTTTGGGTAAAAAATAGACATTGCCCATGTTTTAAATGTTAGAAACACAGAACTGTGTCTTTCGGATCTTGATGAAGACACGTGTAACAGGCAATACATGTCATTCACACAAATGGGGAAACATTAATAAATAAAGAGTTAAAGACATATTAGCAAGATGGAGGGAAAGTTTGACTTTAATGGCACAACTATTGCAATTAAGTAAAGTCTTAGGAGAGTAAATGTTTTTATTATGCGCGTAGGCCCCTAAATTTCAATGCGGAAGGAAAGAAAGAACTAGTCCTCCACTGGCGTAGCCTTTAAAATTAAGAAAAGCCAAAGTTGTAGTCGCTTCCAATTTGCTGTTAGTATTACGCTCGATGGACATTCGCGATTTTCATCAAAGCTTAGAGAACCAAGGCAAAGCCTGAATATTGGGTGACTTCTTCCAAACCAATGACACTGCCTTGCGTGTCCAATAGAGAAATAAAATGTTTAGACTCGAGAGGAAGGAAAAGCAATTATAAGGTACTTTGATTGAACAATGTAGAAGGAATATAATTAGGTGCCTATCACAATTCACAAAGAGAACAGTACTTCTAGTTGCTGTAATCCCCAAGTTACATACTCGATCCATCCATCGTAGACAATTGTCATACTAGCTGTCATACACCTGATAAGCTATCACTAGTAAATTCCAAAACCCGAGATAAAACGTTTCAATACTCAACACTCTCATGTGAGTTGGAAACTCCGAGAACTTGGAAGAGATCGGAAAACATGAATGCACAAGTGATGAAGAGGTAGTGGTGAATGAATAGCATGTAATTCAAGTATGTTGTTTGATCAGTACTTCAA